ACGATAGGGAAACCAGGATGGTCGTACTGGGTATGGGACTGGACAAAAGCATGATTGGAAGAGAAGCATTCAGCGAGCTGGTTGGACTTGTGCTGGGAGTGATATGAGATCGAATTTGTATTGCGTTAATCTATGCAATGCTCGACGTGATAACCGTGGGAGTCTGTGTCCGAACGTTACTCCATCGAATCTTGGGTATGTTATCCATCCGTCCTCTAAGGTCAACTTTTGTCCCTCTATGCGCCGTCCCATGCTGACCAGTCAAGTACCGTAACGCCGACCCAATGCAATCCAGAACCGATTCCTTTATACGCTCTCACGGAGTTTGTTGATCAAAACATCGACCGACTCCATGTCGTTGGCGTCCAGCTTTTGTTGCGGCTTGAACTCGGCGGGCACATGCTCTACGGCGGCATCGAGCGCAGCCTGGAAGTTGCGGACAGAGGACGACAGGGCGAAGACTGCCTTCTTGCGGACCTTCTTCTCGGTGTCTGAGGTGGCCATGCGGACGAGGGTGGGAATAGCGCCGACTACGAGGAGCTGGGGATCGTTAGTATGTTTCGTGAGTGTGCGCGACATCTGGGAATGCTTACCCGTTCCTGTGTCCGGATGTTGTTCTGGACGGCAGTGCCGCAACACCATGCAGCGTAATAACGGAGTTCAGACTCCTTGTTATCCAACTGTTCGACAAGAGGCACCCATAGTCCCAGACTCTCGATGTTGTTTGCGTTGTCGAGGTTCTCGATAAGCTGCTCAAAGTTGTCGAAGGCGGTCGTCCGGTGCTCCAGCTCGGCCTCTTCGTTCTGAATGACCTGCATGCTCTCCTGCATCAGTTGCGCATCCGAAGGCCCCGACATTCCCGTCATGAGTTGTTGTAGCGCCGTGGCGTCGATTTGAGGCGGCGGTTGGTTGGCGGCAGCGGCATCATTGCGCGAGGCCTCGGAGTTCTGGATGCCCCATTTGAGGAGGTTGTTTAGTCCTGGGTCGTTCATGGTGTTGGATAGGCGTTTGATGTGTGGTGTGTTGTGAGGGAGGTGTGTGCAATCGCGGGGTGCGTAGCCATTGAATAATTTTGGCGGGCCTTATGACGCCGACGCTCGCGAGGGGACCAGCAGCTTCGCGGACCTTCCATGGGAGATCGTGCCCAACACAGCTGTCAACACCATCAACCACATGGCGGGACACGAACAAACACGACAAACATGGCGCGGTGCAAAAGCTGGTCGATGTCGGCTCTCAATGACATAATCACGACATGTTGGCATCGAGCATGGCATTGTTGCTGCGAATGCTCGTCTGGCTAGGTGCACTGCTGCTGCCCCTCCGCACACGTGACCATCGTATTCGGAATGGGCGGGGATGGCGAGTTGGCGGTGAGCGAAGCCGCGGATGGCTGGGGGACTGACTTGTGCTCGACGCTGACTTGTGCTCGACGCTGACTTGTGCATTCACAGCGCACCGGCGAGAACACGTAGGTGCTAGTGGAGTGTCGATGATTGCTATACGCCAAGGATCAAACACCGCTGCCTGGCGGTCTGGTAGAGTTGACGTGCGCCGACAGCAGCTTCCTCGATGCTGTGGCGGGGAGCTTGCGTACTCTCCCAGTACGTACCACCGGGATAGATAGAGTCCATTCTAGGCTGCACCCTTTGGGCAGCACGTATAAGATGCCCAATGCTGTTATCGTCGTGAAGCCAGATCGCCAACGCTGAAATTATACACAATCCCCTTTAGGAGCCGCCCGTTCGTGCAAAGCCTCCTTCGCGCCTGCGCTCCTGCCACCCCGCTAAATCTGGGCAAGGCCGACCCGCTTATTTAGCACACCCAGTTCTTGCCTCTGCGCACAAGAACCTCAACCTCAACACCGCCGCCGAACTTGTAAGCTCCCCGAACACCTCCGTACCCTTTTTACTTTTTCACCGCTAGCTGCATCTCTGAGCCTTCCCACTGACGCTCAATTGCTCCAGCGCTCTTACATCGACACCCATCTACAACTCCACGTCCACTCTAATCTCACCCTAATCAATCAACATGGAGGGTAAGCAGCTCCACCCCGACCGCCCCGTGTCCTGACCATCGCCGTCCACCCTGCCCTCTATCTCAATGAGCTCTGCTAACCTCGATTGCCCACTACAGAGGAAGTCGCAGCCCTCGTCATCGACAATGGGTGAGTTGGCACCCCCCGAAGCCCAACACCGCCATCCCTGCCGTGGAGGGGCTGTCCGCGCCTGAGCCTTATCTGAGCCGCGACGACGTCCTCCACGACAGCGCGCCATGTTCGGAGATGAAATGAGCTTGAGCTGACAATCCCCAGTTCGGGTATGTGCAAGGCCGGTTTCGCCGGTGACGATGCGCCCCGAGCAGTCTTCCGTAAGTACCTCCATTTCCGCCTCCCAGCTGCGGCGGGATCGAACGCCATCTCGAGAGCACTTCTGACAGCTTTGCAGCTTCCATCGTTGGCCGACCGCGTCACCATGGGTACGATGAACCCCCCGTAGTCCCCACGCTCTCCGCCGTCTAACAACAAACAGTATCATGATTGGTATGGGCCAGAAGGACTCCTACGTCGGTGATGAGGCACAGTCGAAGCGTGGTATCCTGACCCTGCGATACCCCATTGAGCACGGTGTCGTTACCAACTGGGACGACATGGAGAAGATCTGGCATCACACTTTCTACAACGAGCTGCGTGTTGCCCCCGAGGAGCACCCCGTCCTGCTCACCGAGGCTCCCATCAACCCCAAGTCCAACCGTGAGAAGATGACACAGATCGTCTTCGAGACCTTCAACGCTCCCGCCTTCTACGTCTCCATCCAGGCCGTCCTGTCCCTGTACGCCTCCGGACGTACCACCGGTATCGTGCTCGACTCCGGTGACGGTGTCACTCACGTTGTCCCCATCTACGAGGGTTTCGCTCTTCCCCACGCCATCTCCCGTGTCGACATGGCTGGTCGTGATCTGACTGACTACCTCATGAAGATCTTGGCTGAGCGCGGTTACACCTTCTCCACCACTGCCGAGCGAGAAATCGTCCGTGACATCAAGGAGAAGCTCTGCTACGTCGCTCTCGACTTCGAGCAGGAGATCCAGACTGCCAGCCAGTCCTCCAGCTTGGAGAAGTCCTACGAGCTTCCCGACGGTCAAGTCATCACCATCGGCAACGAGCGTTTCCGTGCTCCTGAGGCTCTCTTCCAGCCTTCCGTCTTGGGTCTTGAGAGCGGTGGTATCCACGTCACCACTTTCAACTCCATCATGAAGTGCGATGTCGACGTCAGGAAAGACCTGTACGGCAACATTGTCATGGTACGTTGAACGCTATAATCTCGCAAAACACAGCTAACAGCAGCCAGTCTGGTGGAACCACCATGTACCCCGGTATCTCCGACCGTATGCAGAAGGAAATCACCGCCCTCGCCCCATCCTCGATGAAGGTCAAGATCATCGCTCCCCCGGAGCGCAAGTACTCCGTCTGGATCGGTGGTTCCATTCTCGCCTCGCTCTCCACCTTCCAGCAGATGTGGATCTCAAAGCAGGAGTACGACGAGAGCGGTCCCTCCATCGTCCACCGCAAGTGCTTCTAAGGTGCTGGAAGTCATGTGTCTACGCGATCCATCGACTGACGGTTTTCTTCCTAGCGTGTTCTTGCGTACGGTTCTCGAGATCATGACAAGCCTAGTAGCGGGGGCATCCTTGTATTGGTGCCTTGTTATCCCGGGGTTTTACACATGTCGATTGTCCACAAAATAGCACAGCGGGCCAATGGTTGGGTGTTTGAGTTATGGAGGAGCTTGAGCTCACATGGGGGTGTAGGATCTTAAGATTGTAGCTTAGAGCCTATGGACACTTTCATATCCCTTACGATCTTTGGCTGTCTCTGCGTGATCAGTGATGATGTGACAACGCAATCTGCAGCCGCAAGCTTGTGTATATCTCAAAACCTCGATCTGGCACGTATTCACGTGAACGTACGACAGTCAAACACGCGCGACGCGTCGCAAACGTGCCTGGCCTTTCGATCAAAGTAACGACGTGTAGAAATGGATCGAGTGGTTGGACATCCCTGCTAGCGCGGAAGTGTGTCCTCCGCGGGAAGGCACGAAGCGACGCGTTCCTCTGCAAAATGCTTACGTGCACCCTTCCATCTCACGCATGAATCAGCATGATATGACTCAAATCCCCATATAGATCCTCCCCATTTTACCCAGCTGTTGCGTTGTTCATTTTACTATTTATCGTTGTTGCCGCGACGCTGGTCATACTGGGGCGATTGCCTCCGAACTCAAACCGGCACGCGACTTCCGCATCTAAAGTCGCCCGAGCGGCCTCTATTCAGTCGGGATGACTACATCATCTAGCAACCCCGCTGATGAGAACACACCTCTCCTAACCCAGGTAGATCCAACACCGATAACAGAGGATCAATCAATCGACCCTTCATCTCAGCAAGATGACATCGAAGAAGAAGACCAGGATAAGCCACTGCCCAAAGCTCAGATCTTTCTCCTGTGCTTTACGGTATGCGTGGCGCCGATCTCCTTCTTCTCCATCTTCCCTTATATCAATTTTATGATTGAGAGGGTGGGGAACGTGGATAAGGAGGATGTTGGGTTTTACTCGGGCTTGATTGAGAGCTTGTTTAGTGCGACGCAGATGTGTGTTATGATTCTTTGGGGGAAGGTGAGTAATTCCTAGAGGGTTGGTTACGGGACTGCCGTGTATCAACTCTTCTTATCATGCTACGGAGAAAAGAGCAATGCTGACATGGCAACTAGGCATCTGACAGATACGGGAGAAAACCGGTGCTCGTCATATCCTTGTTGGGCTTGACTGTCGCTACGACTCTCTTTGGAATGAGCCAGACCCTGTGGCAGATGGCACTGTTCAGATGTCTGGGTGGCGTCTTTGCTGGAACGGTTGTCACCGTCCGAGCCATGATCTCTGAGAATAGCACGAAGCACACTCAAGCACGAGCTTTTAGCTTCTTTGCTTTCGCCAGCAATATGGGTATCTTCCTCGGTCCCCTGATCGGTACGTATCTTGCAACTGTCATAAGTCGACTGTGAGCTAAGTACAGATCTACAGGTGGTGCACTCGAACGCCCAGCAGACAAGTTCACATCGACATTCGGCAAAGTGCAATTCTGGCATGACTATCCTTATGCGCTTCCTAACATCGTCGTCTCGGCTATCGCCATATCTGCAGCGATCACGACGATGCTTTTCGTCAAAGAAACGCTGCACGTCAAAGGTGACGGCAAGAAAACTGCAAAGTCTACCATGTCTACCTGGGAGCTCATTAATCGTCCCGGCGTCATGCGAGTGCTTGTCGTATACAACTACGTGATGCTCATGGCGTTCACCTTCACAGCCGTCTTTCCCGTCGCCCAGTACACACCCGTCAAATTGGGTGGCCTCGGTTTCACTGCAGAGCTTATCGCTGCATGCACAGCGTTGAACGGAGTATCTCAGGCAGCCTGGCTACTCATTGTATTTCCTGCGCTACACAAACGCGTAGGTACTGGCTATGTGCTCTATCTATGTGCATCAGTCTGGCCACTTCTATTCATCGTCGGTCCGGTATACAATTTCCTACTCCGGCATGGGCATACTACTATATTCTGGGTTACTGGACCACCCATCATCGTTCTTGCAAGCGGAGTGTCGATGGCCTTTAGTAAGTCTCTAGAGAGACATGAATTTTGCTTCACTAACGTATATGACAGCCAGCGTCCAACTCGCGCTCAACGATATATCCCCTTCACACGAAACCCTTGGCACGCTCAATGCTGTTGCACTGGCGGCACAGAGTGGCATCCGATCTGTAGCACCGGCTCTTGCGACTAGTATATATGCTATTGGCGTCAAGTACCATATTCTGGGTGGTCAGCTTTTTTGGCTTTGCCAGCTCGTTCTGTCATTCGGCTTGTTTGGGCTGTTGAAGCTGCTTCCTGCGAAGGCTAGGGGGGACGTCAAACCGAAGCTGTTCAACGGCAGTGCTTGACGTACGGTTCTGTATAAATGGAAACACTACTCCTGGGCATGAGTTATGCCAACTGATATCGAAATAAAGCAGGAGGCTCGTATATGCATGGATCTACTGTAAACTGAGGGGGTGTTGTGGTAGTGTCTCTTGCGTGTACGGAAGTCCATTGCCCACAATGAAGCATCACAGAAAGACTTGAGGAACGAATATCATCGAAGGCTTACAAAAAGGCAGTTACAAATCTCACTCTAGACAAACGACACGAGAACTTTGCAAGCGCCGTAAGAATCGCACATTCAGGTCAAATCAACATATTACTTGGGGCTAACTACAGTAAGCTTTGCACCTGCCTTTTCTGGAGCCTGCGAAGACCTTCCACCTCCACTAGGCAAAGATAGTTGACTGAAGATCTTCACGGAGACAGCAATCGACTCCGTAGGTTTAAAACTGCGCATATACTCTGACTGTGTAATCTAGATCACAGCCGATGGTTTGGGGGCTCAATTTAGCTTACGGGGGCGCAGCCGCCAAGCCTGCGTAGGCTGACACTACCTGGGTGTAGCTCATGCCCACCCTCAGCACTTCGCTTCCTTCTCTACACAACCTTCACATTTCTTCCGATCATGAGACTCATCAATACCGAAACCCTGGAGCTCGTAGACTCTGCAAGTCTTCCATGCGTGGAATACGCTATCCTGTCTCACACATGGGGTGCCGAGGAGATCACCCTCAGTGAAATGCAGTCTACGCCTAATACCGACAAGACTGGCTGGAGATGGAGGAAAATTCTCGACTCGTGCAAACAAGCTCAGATCGACAGACATAGCTACATTTGGTGCGATACCTGCTGCATCGACAAAAGCAGTAGCGCGGAGTTGTCGGAATCCATCAACTCTATGTTTCGCTGGTACCACGAAGCCGAGGTATGCTACGCCTTCCTCGAGGATGTTCAAGACGTCGAGAACCTTGCAGGCGCCAAGTGGTTCACGCGCGGCTGGACTCTTCAAGAACTCATTGCGCCCAAAAGGCTAGTGTTCTACAACAGCGCATGGCAAGACATTGGTACCCGAGAGAAGTTGGCACACAAGATCGAAGAAACAACGGGGATTGATCATTCATTTTTACGAGGTGCAAGTTCGATGAGCGAGATCCGTGGAGCGAGCTTTGCCAAACGAGTCAGTTGGGCAGCGAAGCGCGATACGAAAAGAGGTGAGGACATTGCATACTGCCTTATGGGTCTTCTTGATGTCAATATGCCATTGCTTTACGGGGAAGGGGATGTCAAGGCGTTCAGAAGACTGCAAGAAGAATTTCTTAAAGTCAATGTCGATCAATCGTTTCTCGCGTGGCTTCGTCGTCCGAAGGACGGACGGTTGAGTACATCAGATGGGAGCTTTCTTGCCGGTCATCCTAGGGATTTTCACGGGTGTGGTCGGATATCAGTGGCCGATGCTGATGTTGCTGCCTTCGCGCTCACCAACAAAGGGCTTCAAATTGGCCTACCTTTGCTCAAGTACGTAGGTAACCAGCGAAGCCCCGACTACTTCGCCATCCTCGCTTGTCATCCGGATGGTCAACCCGATTACCGCATTCGCATATCACTGCGAGCTGTAGAAAGGACCGCGAGATCCTTTTCTTTCGAGCCAGGCGACGAGCAACAAGCCGTCCCAGCTGCAGAAATAAACGCTACACGCTTGACAGACTGCTGTATTCTCAGAATCACCCAAACTCCCTGGATTCTCTCAATCAGCAGCTTACCCATGTCATTGCTTCGGTGGAAACCAAAGATCGTCCATCTCAATACTTCGACTTGGACTTGGGATTGTCTGAGCGAGCCTAAAGATCCAAAGATTCCGCCGATCCGAGTGCCCGACCAACGAGAGAAAGCCAGCTATGGGGTTCTTTTTCATCCACCGTCTTCATGCCCAGACATCACGAGCAGCGACCATGAGAACACACCATGTTTAAAGGTACTGGTCCGGTTAGACGTTGGGTTCGATGTGCGATATGGTGTGGATGTAGGCATACAACTATTCCATGTTTTCAGAAATGAGGCCCCGACCGACTCGGATGCTTTCCCTAGCATACCGTCCGCAGATATACCATCTAACTCGCGTTCTCGGGTCGTTTCTGTACCCGCCCAACTATCAGAAACGATACATGCATCGGCCTTGTGGAAGCGTATTCAGAGCCGAGACGAACTATTGCTGAAGATCGACCTAGCACCAGTCGATGTGCATCGTGCATATGGACCGTATGCAAGTTCGATTAGTGCTTTCAAGACACTTCTTTCTCAAGACCCATTGGTACACTGTATCTGCGCAACAATACCCATGGTGGTCTTGATTAAATTAAGGCAGCCTGATGCATTCTCCTTCGAAGCGCTCCAATATGGTCTCTCCGTCTTGTTAGTCTACTTTATCGCACTTCAGAAAGAACGGTTGATGGGTTATATACGACCAGAATACAGGTTGGTATATTACCGCTTACCGTTTGTCCTGGTGTTCCTACTACTCAGTAAAAAGAACTTTGTCGAATACAACGACGTGCCCTCTGCTCGATACCACGGAGCCCTACATTGGGCTTTGGCGGGGTTGTCCGCATTTTATGTGTTAGAAACATTCATGGGGCGTATGGGATATGAATCTCGACACGAGGAACAGATACATGCCCAGGAATCGGACCCCAGCACTGGACTTCAAAGTCTGTTGTTAGATGACACAATATGATAGGCGACGGAAGGAACTGTACTGTGCAGTTGAATAGCTAAAACTTACGCAAATCTCCACAAAAGGGTAGTCTTCCTGGATGTGCGATGTAGCAGTCTCGCTTCATCTACAGGTTTTTTCTTAACGTGGGCTGTAGACCTGTTCAGTTGCTTCCTGGTATGAGGTGAGAACGCATAACTTTCCATCACTCATCTCCAGGGTTACCTAGGTACCTCCCATCATCCAAGCCACCAAGACTGTCGCAAATTCCCGAGCCACAATGATGAACAACACCACTGCAACCCTCCACGTCATCCCCAAGAAGCAAAGTAGCACCTCTAACGGCCCGTCTCGGCGTCATCGACCCGCGCCGACAGCACCACCACAACCACCCGAGCCCTGACGTCCTTCAACCCACGGAAGCTGAAACACGTGCAGTCACGATAAGGCTACACAAGCAAGCAAGCATTGCTTTGCACCAAGTCCCAGCCCCCCAGCCATCGCTTATCTGCGCTTCCCCGTCGCAGCTCGTGCAGCCAGAACATCGGCGTGATGACATCGAAGGCGGGATGATCACACAACACCCAACCACCCCCCAGCCAGAAACACGCAATTCTCTGCCCAGCCAGACAGCGTGTCCAAAAGCCGCCCGCGGACACACACCCCGTGCGATCGACATTGCGTCCTGCGACGCAAAAAGTTGCGGCTAAACAGCTGTCGTGCACGGCTTGCGATACGTATCGTGAGGAAAACGTCGACTCCGCACTGCGGCGATCAAACGTCATGCATCGTGATAAGTGAGCATGAGTCGGTGCTGTTGCACAGTCACGCAGTTCCCGATTCAAGTTTCCTTTTTGCACATCCTCCGTGTTCGCGTCGGGAGAACGCTGCGCGGGAGTGGTTTTTATTGAAACGTGTATCAATACAAACAGCATCCATGTCAGGAGCAAAGTAAGGCTGCTAAGATGTGGGCGACGAAACACTCCGCGTCTTGGCCCGGGCAGAAAATGCGTGACAAGCAATTGGCAAGCCTTTTTTCCCCATTGTCAGAGCGCCTCAGGATCGGGAGACTCGATCAAGGCGCGACACGTTGTGCTGCCGATGCGAAGAAGATGCGACAAGCGTCACAATGGCATCAGCCATCGTCGTCGTGAACGATCCGATGCGACGCGCTGCGATGGCATGGGGGGCTTGTCCACGGGTATGTCACTTTGCCTAGACAGGCGCACGCGAAAAGGTTTAGTTCCAACCGTCACGGAGGCTCGGCACGCTATTAAGGCCACCCAATATAACCAATACACCACTGGATCGCGACGAAAACGTTGGCCGAAGATGCGCATCACCATCTGGCCCAACCTCTTTTCGAAGTAGTTTCTTCGGGGGTACTATTAGTTCGTAGGCTTTACGTGGCATACTTGGAATATTGCGATGCGATACGGAAAAGGAGTACAGCGACTGTGTCTCGATCGCTCAGTCTCCCTCGATACCCCCATTGGGTGGGTGAGAAAGATAGCTAATGTCATTCTAAGTAATCAATTGCTTCACCGTGCATGTGTGTCACGTTCGCCTAAGCATTACATGCCTTGCGCGAGCTGCTGCACAAAGTATGTCATGTTCGCGATAGCTTGCATGGGCTTGCCCAGCCGTTGGTTGGTGCATTAGTAGAGGGAGGCGATGGCGTGCAGCTGTCGCTTTACCCCGCTTGGGAACTGGCAGAGAGGGTGAGCTACCACGAGCTATCTACCCCGCGTGCTGTTATGGTTTGCTCCGCGCAGAAGTCGTAAGTGGCTTGACTTGGGTATGCATGCTGTGTGACCACCAGCTGTCGTTCTTATCGGTGTTGTGTCGACGGAACGTAAGGCGGGTGACTAGCGGCAATTGGAAAGCCGTGAATCTTTCCGATGTACTAGCGACGCGTAGGACTTCGCGTGAAGTTAATTGCACGGATGTAATTGGGGAACTCCAAGAAGCTCAAGATCGAATTCAGGAACACAACATAGAGCAGGAAAGTTTGGATCACGTTAAGCACAAGGTCACAGCAATGATTGCAATTGGGGTATTAATTTGAGACAATGAAATTATGCTTCTTGGTATACATGAGAAGACTAGCAAGACAGTGATGAAAAATTAACCTTGCTTCAGGTGGGTTCATCAATCCCGTACAAATATCCAAATACACATCGCGTCATGGTTGAGTAGCGACCCTGGTTTACTCGTCATCCTCCTCTTCAACAGCACGGGGAGCAAGGACGTAGCGGGTTGTGCCGTGCTTGTCCTTGCCGTGCTCGAGAGACAGCTTGCTGAGGGCAG